AGAAAAACATAGAGCATACAGAAATACATTTATCCAAAAGATACCAAGTGTCAGCAGCTAGGGAGTTGACATAACTGAACTCAAAATGGGGATTATTCTGACTCAAACTTCCTACAGGTACTCAAAAGACACCTAAGCAATGATTTCTTATATCTTCTTATTGTCACCCTGTGGCACTTAGCAACATATCAAGTGAATAGATCATGAAGGAGATAGTCATATCATAATAAATAAGACAATACGGCATAATGGAATGTCTGGAAGGAAGCTGACAAGGACTAGAATTTTAATTATAATATGTATATTTGTTCCTGAATAATCGGTTTCATGGAGATGTTCTTAAATCCAACCCACGACTATGGGAAGTAGAGGAAGCATGTGTAAAGAAGTTTATTTTTAGTTATTGACTCGGTAATTCACAAATTTGTACTTGAAAGCAAAATGATGAGCTAGAATTCAGTAGTAAAAGGAAGAGGTCAAATACATATAGTTATCAGATCTAGAAAGTAAGCAAGGGTGGTTGAAAAGTGCCTGTCCAATGAATTGTCCTCCAAAAACTTGCCTAAAAGTTGGAGCTTCTGGCAAAGTAAACCCACGGAAGATATCGACCTAAAAAGACAGAAAAGAATTGTGGTGAGCAAGACAAGGGAACTCAATGCAAAAAATTAATATGACACTATATTTATCATGTTTGTCCTTTTAACAGCAAATCAAGAAAATGCAACCATGCAAATCTCTGAAATCCATGTCTGCTCTCATGTTTGTTTATTTTAGGCGATGTAAATCAAAGTATATGGTGAGTTAAAAGCACAAGGTTAGTCTTCAAATGGGAACAATATGATTCCACTGCCAGCCTTAAATCCATTTGTTGCACAATGGATAAAACATCATAGATACTGTCTTACATTATACTTACTTCTAGTGGTTCTAAGTGCAAAATTTGTTCCAGCAAAGAATGTTCAGGTGTTTCCTCCGCATTCCAAATTGTTTTTGGTTGTAACAAATGTCCATATTGATTGGGCAATATGAAGCAGGTCAGCTGCAATAGTGCCAACAATAAGCAAGAGATGGTTATACTTATCTGGAAAAGCCATAAACCAAGTGTTCACTCAGAAAAGAGAATCCTACAGCTAAAGAAATGATAAGTTAAAAGTGGGACTTTGAAATAAGCACCTTTGATAGTGCAACAACATTTACTTGATGAACAGAACTATTCCTTCCTACAAAATAATGCAAAGCATCAGTGTTAACGAAATGAAATCACATAAGACATCACTGTTTTATATCTTTTTCATGCAGAATGAGTTTGAACAGAATTAAACCAAATTATCATGACAGCAAATGTCTTACCGTAACCAAAGTAGTCGTATTTATTTAACACATAGTCTGGGCGGTTGGCTTCTTCAGCATTCGCAGGTGCAGAAACTTCAGCCTTCAAGATAATGAGGATGTCATTCACGTAGCAGAAAGTATTATTACTGCTAAAAATAGAATCAGCCTCTGCCCCCACTCCCACTATGGTAAATATCAAAGGTACATGTAATTCCTGCATATTTTCTAATTGATTCTAACACATATCAAAGCAATTGCAAAATAACGAGTTAAAGGTATGAACGCAGCAGCAAGACAAATTAACAATGTAATACAGTTAGGGCAGGAAAGGCTATGGAAGATCAGGAACATAAGATCATTATTATAAAAACTGTTCTTCACTCAGTGAAGTCTGAGTCTTTCACCCAAAGAACAAAACAAACAAGCATTGTTATAAAAGTTGTTCTTTTGCAGTCTACTAGTAATCAATGTAGAAAGAAAAGTCAGGCTAAATTATATGGTCCACCTGTTTCAAATGAGTACCCAATTACTGATGTGATATCTCCATGCAGTGGTACTAGCCTTCTGCGCACCAGTGCAGAGTCAAATAATCATCAACGCCAAAGATGGGTGGAAAGGATGTATAGAAGTTTTTTTTTGTGAACATTTATTTGCGCCAGTGCAGATTCAATGAAGCATCAGCTCAGAAGATGGGTGGTAAGCATGAGGTGCAAAGGTACATTACAAGAAACGTTTAGTGCATATAACTCTTTAGCTCAGCCATCTAAGTTGTATATGTATGCATAGAACCAACAAAAGTAAGAATTTGCGTAAACTTTACCTGACCATCCAATATGATGTAAAGGCCATCAACAGGTTCACCTTCGCGAGCGACATAGTCACCAGGTTCTGCAAAGTACCAGTATCAGAGCCAAATATGATTCATCTTGACGCTAGATCACATTCAATGACAGAAAAATAAAATCTTATTTGACCAGTAGAGCCTTATATAATGGGAGCACATTAAGCAGGCACAAAGGGTAAAAAAATAAAATAAAATTAAACTTAAACATAACCAATTCATTATGGACTAATCACCCTGTTTCTCGCAGAGGTATGCTCACATTGGTTTACATCTGAAACTTGAATTTTGTTGTGATCTCGTAGACTAACAATTAACACTCGCAAGTCGCAAATACTTTGTGAGCTTAGCACAAAGTCAGGTACTCACTCCGAGAGCACGTCGATTTCCGAAAGCACAAACTGACACGCATATCATACTTCCGTAGACAAACAGACAAACAGAGTAAGCCAGGAAACCGATCAAACGGGCCAATCGATCCAGCCTGCTGGCACACAGTAGCGCCCGCGGACGCGCTAGGTACGTACCGTAGTTCCTGACCTCGACAGCCTCGGCGATTCTGCGGATGGAGGAACCCGGGAGGCACTGCAGGAGGGGCACCTGCCCCAGGAACTCGGTCACTGCACACCAATGGCAACCAGGGCCCAGATTAGCCAGAATCACTCCCAAATTCGGCGAGGTCCGCGCTGGCGTTGCTTTACCTTCTTCACGATCCATCGCCTGCGCGGCTGCAGCAACGGCGAGCAGGGGGTGTTGGCGGTCGGGACAGCGAGGCGTCTACGGTGAGGGCGTCAGGGCGGAGGAGGACGCGGACAAAAAAAATTGTTCTCGGATTTAAAGACGCGGAGAAGAGTGAGGGAGAGCAGAGATTGGTTGGCCGTGGGACTCGTGGTCGTGGGGAAGGTGGAGACGGAGACGAGAGGAGAACAAAACTGAACGAGGAGAGAGACTCCAATTTGTGCGCGTGGCTGGGGGCGACGTGCGGGCCCTCCGTGTCAGGGTAGGGGTGGACATGACTAGTGGGCCTCTGATGTGCGCGCTGGAGACGGGGCCACAGGGGCCGTCTTGTCAGTGGAAATTTTAGAGGAGCGCTGGTGTGATTGCATTTGCGAGTGAGTAGTGACAGAGGAATGGATTACTCCGCCACTTGCTAGTACACTTGGATCGCGGTCCCACGTGCATAAATAAATACCCTCCCTTCTAAAATACGTAGTAAGTGTTATTTTTGTTCTCGAGGGGTTGAACACTTTTAAATTTAATCAACTACATAAATAAATATAACCTAGTATTTATATAGTATAAAATTAGTATATAAGATAGATAGCTAAATCTATTTTTATAATAAACTTATTTATAGATACACATATCGCTAATATTTTTTTTATAAATCTAGTCGTACTTAAGAAAGTTTGACCGGTATGAATACTATAACGACACTTATTTTTAGGACTGGCGGAGTAAATATGGAGGCACTGTTCACTTATCTTATAATTCGTCTTTTTCATAATTTGTCTTTTTTAGTTTGTTTTTCAGCCGGGACAGTGTTTTCCTCTCACAACAAATCAGTCGGAACAGTGTTTCGGCTTGTTTTTTCAGCGAAGCGAACGGAGCCAATTAAGATCACGTTGCTGCACAAACAGTGATAAAAGGGCAGACATTGCAGAGGACATACGTTTCTATGCAACTGAATTAAATATGCTTAGTTTAAGCAGATAATTGGGATGTTTGTTGTCTCAAAATTAATAATGTGATAGTGTGGCATGGATTGCTTTTTATATAGATAACCTGATAGTGTCTGTCAGGCATACATGTGCACACCCAATCTACTTAACTAGATACGTGGCTACGGTCTGTGTGCTTTGATCTGCTTTACTCTGAATGTTGCTAGCCCTTGTTCTCCTCATCCAATCCCCTCCTGAAGCCTATTTAATCACTCTTTTTTGTGTGTGTTTCAGCTTTGGAAGGTCATTTGGATCGGTGATAACCAGCACAGTTGCACATACATTTGAGTAAATTGTGCAGCAAGAGAAGGGAGGGCTTGGTCTCTATGATTTAGCAAAGGTGTTGATGAGCCCTCTTTTTTTCTCTCTGTCTTTACAATCAAGAAAAAAATGTTTTCATGCGAACTTGGCATTAGAGGCACGCTGATGTTGAAATTGAAATTCCTTAACATGTGGCAGCAGCCAGCAGCCGCATCAAAATAGGAGAAGAATGATTTTCTTATTCTAATATTTAATTCGGTTGTCAATAAAATCAAAATATTGCTAGTGACAGTATTACCTCATGGTACAGTATGTTGGAGCTTGATGTGGACTTGTCGATAGCGACCAGCAATATAATCCTGGGATTTGGGAAAAATAGAGTGAAAAGGTTAATGGGAAATGGTCCATTTAAAGAAGGTTTGTTTGCAAACTTGAGAGCTAACCCACAAAACAACAAATTATTTTGGATATTAATATACTCACTTATGAGCAAAGCAGCAAACCAATCAGTAACTCATATGTTTTTTTATACCTCAATTCAGGCACGAAGCCAACGGTGGGGCTAGGGGGGCTTTAGCCCCCCTACCCATCCTGCGCATGTGGAGCCTCCTTAAGCCCTTCCTTAAAATTTTATGCATATATGTATTAGGTAGGAGGGGCTAAGGTTAAGAAAAGATAAAAAAACCTCTATTCTTTTGTTTCAGCCCCTCCTAAATTTTTTTCTGGTTTCGTCACTGCCTCAATTCACCGGGGCGGACGGACGCAACGGCAGGTCCTTGCACTCGGAGGTTGCGGCCGACGTGCTGAACCTCGTCGAGGGGAAGAGCATCGAAGAGCTTGAAGCAATGCAGCAGACCATCGACGATCGGATGGCCGACGGCGAGTCCATGGTCGTCGACCAATTGCAGGAGGTGACCGAGCTCATCCGTGTTGAGAAGGCCAAGAAGTTCCTGGCGCAGAACTGCTCCACCTGCGACGACGCGCCGGCACCGGCGCCACCCTCCGTCTCTGACAAGGAGGACACGGAACAGGAGCGTGGACACAGCACCGCGGCGGACGCCGATGAGGAGGGGTCGGAGCCGCTCGGCGCCGTGGCGTTGCCGTTGACAGAGACGCTGCCCGCGGGACCGGAGTGGAGGAAGCCCAAGTACGTGGCGCGGGTGCGGACGGGGTACGAGTGGAACAAGTACAACCGCGTGCACTACGACCACGACCACCCGCCGCCCAAGGTCGTGAAGGGCTGCACGTTCGTGCTCCACTACCCGGACCTCGCAGGCGCGAAGCCTCCGCAGTACGCCGTCGAGGAGGACGGCAGCGGGAGCGACGAGACCTGCATCGTCAGGTTCCACGCAGGGTGGCCCTACGAGGACGTCGCGTTCAGGATCGTGAACAGGGAGTGGGAGCGCTCGCGGAAGGCGGGGTTTAGGAGCACCTTTGACAGGGGCGTCCTGCGTCTCAGCTTCCACTTGAAGCGCGTCTTCTACCGGAGATGATGGCGATTGGCGGTTGATCTCACAGTGCCGCCGTTTGTAATTAGATGCAAGACACGATTGGATCCTTTATTTGCTCATCTGGAACTGGCCTCTAAAAGTAAATAGTAGAGACATGTTAACTTGGTGTCAGCTGTCAGCTATTGGAGAACAGATTTCAGTAAAGGACCCGGTGGTGAATACCAAATTAATCGTTCATCTGTTTTATTTACAGTTTATACATACTATATCTCCGCGTCAGCTATCTTCAGGCTTAGCTTCGTCATAGGCCTGTAGAGACCATGTGTCGGTGTTCACCGATAAATAAGGGCTGTTCGCTGGACTGAAGAAATCAGCCAGCCGGCTGGTTTCCTCTCACGTGGCACTATTTATCCATTCAGCCAAACAGTGTTTCTCTCTCACACAACCAGCTAGTTTCAGTTAAGATTCTGCCAGCCGAACGGGGCCTAAATTTCTAATATTACGCGTCTAGCTTGGATGGTGTGCTAAGAAGACACGAAGTTTATATTGGTTCGGACAGAATATCTCTACGTCCAGTTTGTTGCTGCTGCTCGTGTTACTAGCACTGAAAGTTTGTAGTATGAGTTACAAACGGTCGAGAGAGGGACATGTCCCAAGTCTCTGGTGGAAAGAACGAATGGGTGCCGAGAGCTCGGTCGCTACTTAGCTATGTGTTCGAGGTTCGATGCTAGTGGTTCTGATCTGATGCGGTGCGATGTGTTCTCATGTGATGCGATGCTCCTTAATGGCACGCCCTGCTTTCCCTTTTATAGGTCAAGGGAAAGTACGGGTTACAACGGGAGAAAAGAGGAGAACGAGAGGGAGAGAAAGTCGTTCAGGGTCGTCGGGCCTTTCTTTTCCTTCGTGCTGGCCCCGCTGACACGACAGGTGGTGACAGGGACAGCTCCACGCCGGACGCTTGTCCACCGATGATGCCATGCCCTGGCGTTGTCAGCGGGTCGTAACGTCCCACTCTGCCCCGACGGGCGGCGCAGCGAACCAGCGTGCTGATCAGCAACCGTACAGGGAGTAGGCAGCATAATGACCACGCGTCCGTCACTGTGGGCGATGTGAGTTCTCTGGAATGACATATCGCGGGGACGGGTCGTGTTGAGACGTGACCGCTCCCTGCATGATGCTAGAAGTTTGATCTTGGGTTGTCCTTTCTGGCCCGCAGTGGTTGGCGGCGGCGTGAGCTTCCGTTAGGAGCCGTGCCCGAGGGATCGGGCGAGGCGGAGCCAGCCCTCAGACGTCGGGTGAGGTGGAGCCTGCCCTCGAGGGGTCGGACAAGGCGGATCCTGCGGCCTCGGTGTCAGGCGAGGCGGAGCCCGTCCCCAGAGGTCGGACGAGGCGAGCCCGCGGCCTCGGATGTCGGGCGAGACGGAGCCCATCCCCAGAGGTCGGACGAGGCGGATCGCACGACCTTGGGGTTGGGCAAGGCAGATCCCACCCTCAGAGGTCGGGCGAGACGGAGCCCACGGCCTCGGTGTCGGATGAGGCGGAGGGGGCGAGGCGGATCGCATGACCTTAGGGTCGGGCGAGGCAAAGCCCGCGGCCTCGGTATCGGACGAGGCGGAGCCCGCCCCTAGAGGTCGGGCGAGGCGGATCGCACGACCTTGGGGTCGGGCGAGGCGGAGCCCATGGCCAGAGGTCGGGAAGGCGGAGCCCGCGACCTCGGTGTTGGTTGGAGCTGTAGTCGCACCTTTGATTGCCTGGATGGATTAACGTATAACGACCATTAGCCCCTCCTCTTCGGGTACCCTAGTATTAGTTCTCGATAGTAGCCCCCGAGCTTTGGAGGAGTAGAATACTCCTTCGGAGGCTCTTCCAAACGGGAGTACTCTGAGAGCTTTAGCCTTCTTTTGTAGCCCATGACGTAACCTGGGAACGGTGGTTCCCTTTCGTCGAGACCGGACCCTTCGCGGGTTTGTGAAAGCTCTCGTTTGGTTTTGGTGAATTGATGAAACCCTAAATGCTAACATAGTTTATCAAAGTGATTATGAGATAGGTAGCACTATTCTAAGTGGTGAAGCAAATGAAGATCATGACATGATGATAGTGTTGCCATGGTGATGATCAAGTGCTTGGACTTGGAAAAGAAGTAAAAGAAAAACAAAAGGCTCAAGGCAAAGGTATAAGTGGTAAGAGTCTTTTCGTTTCGGTGATCAAGACAGTTAGCGAGTATGATCATATTTAGGTTCGATAGCCGTACTATTAAGAGGGGTGAAACTCGTATCGAAATACGGTTATCAAAGTGCCACTAGATGCTCTAACTCATTGCATTTGCATTTAGGATCTAGTGGAGTGCTAACACTCTTGAAAATGTTTGTGAAAATATGCTAACACATATACACAAGGTGATACACTTGGTGGATGGCACATTTGAGCAAAGGTAAAGAAGATAGAGTTGAAAAAGAGTTAGTCGCGCTGGTCATAGAGTGACCAGACGCGTCCGGTATGGCAACCGGACGCGTCCAGTATGTGGCTCGGTACTGAATTGCAGAGAGCGACCGGACGCGTCCGGTGTGAATCAGCGAAGTCGATATTTAGTGTAGCGTTCGGTTGGCCTAGAGTATCTTTGGGAGCTCTCTGGACTTGACCGGACGCTGCGTCTCCTACGTCCGGCCCGGAGTGACCGGATGCGTCCGGTCAGCCCTGGGAGCTCTCTAGACTCGATCGAACGCTGCGGCTCAGCGTCCAGTCGTTTTCTAACAGCGCGTCCGATCACAGATTGAATATGGTAGCAACGGCTACTTCATTTTGAAATTGGACACGCGGCGGTCAGGTAGCGACCGGACGTGTCCGGTCGCCACACCGGACGCGTCCAGTATACATGACCTGTGCGTCCGGTGCACATGATCTACGCGTCCGGTCGATGCGCAATCAGCCCAATAATTGAGCCAACGGCTCTATTATTTGGGGGTGTCTATAAATACCGTTTGGCCGACTCAAGCTCACTGTCTTGGCCATTTTACATTGACATAGCAACCTTGTGAGCTTAGCTAAAACCCTCCCACTCATCTCCATCATAGATTCAACATCTTTGTGAGATTGGGAGTAAATCCAAGTGCATTGCTTGAGTGTTTGCATCTAGAGGCACTTGGTGTTCGTGTTTCGCTGTGAGATTCACTTGTTACTCTTGGTGGTTGCCGCCACATAGATGGCTTGGAACAGCGAGGATCATCGAGCGGAGGTTGGTGATTGTCTCCGGCTCTGATCGTGTTGATTGTGAGGGGTTCTTGACATTTCCTTGGTGGAGAGCCAAAAGGTACTCTAGTGAATTGCTCATGGCTTGTGTGATCCTCATTTTGTGTTGGTTGTGCGGCACCCTATTGAGGGTTTGGCGTGTGATGTCAATTAGCGCGTGAACCTCCAAGTGAGTGAATCGCCACAACGAAGATTAGCTTGCCGGTAAGCAAGTGAACCTTGGTAAAAAATCATTGTGTCATCATTTGATTATGAGGTGATTGGTCTTCATTGATATTGATTCTTGTGATTGATTGGTTCATTCCTCGAGTCAGTGGTATAACCATCTTGCTCTCTTTCTTTACATTACCATAAACTAGTTATCAAGCTCTTTAGTGTAGCTACTTGTGAGAGCTTGTTAGTTAGATTAGTGTGGCTCTTTAGTTAGCCTTTAAGAGCACACTAACTTAGTGTAGTGACATAGCTATTGAGTGGATAGAGACTATATAAACTAGAATTGTGGTAGGTGGCTTGTATTTTTAGTAGGCTAGCGCAACACTTGTTTTGCCTCATAATTGTTTAATTGATTTGTTAAGTGTTGTTGTAGAAATTTTTAATAGGCTATTCACCCCCCTCTAGCCATTAGGACCTTTCAAGTGGTATCGAGGCCACCGTGAGTTGAGGCTTAACAACCTTCGGTGTAAAAATGGCTCAAATCAACAACATAAAGAAGCCACCCCAATTTGATGCTCCAACTATCCCTATTAGAAGGCTAAGATGGCAACATATATCAAGTCAATTAATAGGAAGGTTTGGAAGGTGGTGGAGATTAATATTGAGATTGATGATGAAGAGGCTCCCACCACTCGTCGAAGAGATGCTACTCCAAAATAATGACATTGCTCTTAGTGTCATCCATGATGCTTTGGATGAGAGAACATTTGAGCAAATCAAGAATATTGAGAGAGCTCATGAGACATGGAAGAAGTTGGAGAAATCATTTGAGGGCACTCAAGCCGTGGAGGGTGTAAAGACATACATTCTTATAGAGAAGTTTGCAAGCTTCAAAATGAAGGAGGATGAGAGTGTACCGGAAATGTTTCATAGGCTTTAAGTGCGTATCAATGATCTCAAAGCACTTGGAAAAGAGGTGAAGGACAAGGACTTCTCCCATAAGTTCTTGAGATGTTTACCTTCAAGATTTGGCACATTGGTCACTATTCTAGTGAGGAGTGGTTTGGACACCATGACACCAAACCAAGTGTTGGGAGATATAATAACCGATGATACATGTAGAGATGATGATGAGAAGGAAGAAAAGAAGGAGAAGAAAGATGAGAAGAAAGATGAGAAGAAGAAGAGTGTGGCATTCAAGGCCACATCATCCAAGGGCAAGGCAAAGCAAGAAACATCAAGTGAAGATAGTTCATAGGATGATGATGATGATGATGAAAGATGGCTCTCTTTGTCAAGAGATTTGGCAAGTTCATGGTGAAGAAAGGCTACCATGCTAGAAAGGAGAAATCTTTATCCAAGAACAAGGAAGAGTCAAGAAGGTGCTTCAATTATGGAAGCAAAGATCATCTTGTTGCTTAATGCCCATACAATAGTGACAAAGATGATGACAAGAAGAATAAAAAGAAGGACAAGAAAGAAAAGAAAGAGAAGAAGGACAAGATGACCTTCAAGAAGAAGAAGGGTGGTTCATATGTAGTCACTTGGGATAGTGATGCTTCCTCAAGTGATTATGATGATAGTGATGATGACAAGACCACTAAGAAGAAGGCACTTGCAAGCATTGCTATCAACGAGAAACC